AGTGGAGTGCAGGCTGAAGATGCAGGAGATTATTACTGTCAGCAGCATGATAGCTGGCCGTACACACAGTGACACAGGCCAGTACAAAAACCTCACTCAGCTGTGCATACGCTCAGTCTAGGAAATTTAAACAACTACCAAAATTGCCAGACTGTTCAAAATAGATCCTGACTACTGTTTACTGGATTCTGGTGTTCCTTCATAACCTGAGACCTGGATGGTGAGCGCTTATTTTCTTTTTTGTTCAATTTCAGTGTTGTGTATATAATAGTTGTGTCCTAGAACGATCAAACTAGCAAGTTACATCTTCCTTTTTTTTGAAACACATTTTCTTGTCATCCATGTACTACTCTTTTGATTAGTTACTTAATGTTTCAGTGGATTTTCCTTTATACAGTATATGTTTCTTATTATGAATAATTGATTATTTTTCTTATTGATGTTTGGAGCTGTGATACAGTGACTTAGGTTTAATCACAATCAAAATTCACTTTGTCAGGTGTTGCCTACATATACTGGATTTCTTTTCCAGTATCATTGAACGCATCCAACAAACAACATAAATTAAAAAATTAATGTCACGCCCTGCGTGTCCGATCCTCCTGTGTGCCACGACCCCTCTTTAACCTCGTGTGATATCCCGATTATCAGCTGTCTCTTTTTTCCATTAAGTCCTGTGTATTTCAGTCCGCGTTCGAGTATGTTTCCCCAGTTCTGTCATTGACATCGTTGCTGCCTATATTTCCCGTGTTAGCTGTATTCTCCCCAATAAACTGAGTTTCCCCGTATCTTGGACTCCCGTGCTTCCCTGCTCGACATGTCCGCAGCTGGTCATGACAATTAAACAGTTTTAAAATATACATAAATGTGAAAATCAGTTCAGATTACTGTAGGTAAATCAGTATTTACTACTGAACTAAACTGAAAATAACGTGTATATCATTATTGAGTTGATAAGAGTGTTACACGCATTTGACTTTGTGTCTTGGGCACTGGCTATCTAAGCTTGTAAAAAATCATGGGGAATGCTCAATCACCAATTTTTTCACTAGATGGCGCACTTTTCAAACGATTATGATTAATGTTAAATCAAGTTAGTAGTTAATCATGCTTTTAGTAAACATTCACTTCATAAAGTAGAACCAAAATGAAATACACTGCTGGTAAAGAAAATGACATGAAACGCAAAATGCATAAATTATTCAGTTAGT